AAGAGAACAGATGTTTAGAAGGAAAGCTGGAGCCTTTTTTTTTTTACAAAGAAGTGATATTTTCTCATACTGATATTATACCCAAGTGCCTGCACCAGCATGAAAAGAGGTAGAAGATTCAGTCATGATCCAAAAGCGACTGGGTTGATGACACCAAAAAGGCTATGTGATGATTTTTTTTGTCTGTCAGGTGCCACGGTGTGAGATGTGCAGAGCTGTTTCTATAAACCAAAATGAGGCAGACCACAGGATAGACGTTGGTAAATGATGAATGTGAAAGAAGTCAACATCAGAAATGATATACTCCTTGAGGCAAATGAGCCACACTCTGCAGAGGGTTCTCTCTACAAAGGGAAAGAGGAGGGAAAAGCAATGAAGCTTACTTGGTGCCAGTGCTGTGTTAGGATCTGTGTGTGCAAAGAGTATGATTACAACATCACCCCTGTATTTGAGGAGTTCACAGACTAGTAGGGAAAAAAGCTTTGAGTATCTCTTAGATTCCAGGCACATAACACATGTCATTTCATTTTATCTCCACAGGGAAAGATAAGTAAGAACTGGCTAAGAGTGGCCTCCATTTGGCCTAGAAAAAGGAGAGTTTTATCTTGTGTATCCAGGTGTGCCCAGGATAGAAGATGCCCAGACCATGTAAGAAAAATAAGCTGTCCAGTGTTCTATTACTTTGGATAGATGAGCTTCAGATTCCAGACCTGTAAGCCTGGGCGAATAGACCTTGACTCTTTAAGAGCCTTCCAAGAAACACTAACCAATGAGGCCCAGGATAAAACAGTGCATCTGATCTCATAAGACATGTGGATAGATATAGACATGCTACAAGTCAGGTCATGGGAACAGTTGACACTTGAGAACTGTAGAAGAATAAAATCACAGTCGTTAGATAGGCAACTGAAGCCCAACCAATCCATGCAATGACCTCAGAAATAATTTTGAGAGGTAATAGTGTGCCCAAGCTTTGAAGTCAGCAGCCTGTGTTCAAATCCTGGGCCTGACACTGACCAGTTGTCTTACCTTGGGCAGGCTACCTCTCAATTTTGGTTTCCCCATTGGTAAGATGATAGTTTATGTTTCATAGGGTTGTTTAAACAAACCAACCAACAAACAAATATCATATATGCAAAGTGTTTAGCAGGAATGCCTGAAATGTAATACGCAGTTAATAAACATTAGCCATTATTGCAAGAATAAAACCTCAGAAGCAGGCAGAATTTTAGCTAGAATTTAGGGAGCACCCTCTGAGTCATGACGAGCTAAAATTAGGACAAGTTAAAGGAATTGTACATAGAAAGAAAGATAAAGAACTTGCACTCTCGAGTAGGTTGTGCAGATTTAGAATATAAATGGAGTTAGACATCCCTAGAGCCCTAGAGCCCAGGCCCTATGTCCCCAGAACCCCATTCTTTCCTCTATCACAGCTCTTAATAAGTGAATTTAATTGTCTGTTGCTTATCTGTCTTCTTTGCTAGACTGTGAGCTACTGAAGTGCACGTATGCACTTTTCTTCTGTCTAACCTAGGTACCTATTACAGTGTCTGTTATACAGTAGATGCTCATAAATGTTGGTTCAGAGGATAAACATATTTAATATAGGCTTAAATTCACACACATAACAAGCCTGTCTATGGCTTCTCATGGTCAGAAGGGCACTGGAAAAATTAGCCTCATAGATAAACTCAAAGATTATCAAAAGGAGGTGCTCTTTAAAAATTAAAAAAAATTTTTTTTCTCATTTTTATAAAGGAAGTGAATTTTAGTGTCAAGAGAATGTGTAAACTCACCACAAGTGACAATATTATAACACTGTCACAGGCAAATTCGCACCTATAGATGAGCTAGTTGAAGAACAAAGTTAGTTTTGGAAGGCTAGAGAAAAAGATTCTGAAATGTCACATCCACTCTATAAAACTGACTATCCTTGGCATCATCCTTTTAATCTACCTGGGTTTGAGAATAGCCTAGGGCATTTGAAATGAAGACAATTAGCACCTCAGACAGGGCATCCACATGCAAAATTCTGTCACCTCTCAGAGGCCTCAGGAGGTGACAAGTTTAGATAAGAAGACACTTTCAACCTTGGCTGACAGTTTGTCAATGCTTTTATATTTGATTTAAATGGCATCTATATTCTGAACAGCGTAGTTTGCTTTCAACTTGTGAATCTTTCTTCCCCCACAACATGATTTTTATTTTTCAGGCCATTTAAAAACAAGAACAAAAAAAATCTTTCCTCTATGGGGTGAGAACGGAGGAAACAGCTCTTGCTTCTTGCACACAAATGAGTTCAGTCCATTTCCCCTCTGTTTCTCTGTGAAGTATGCTTGGCTTTCCTTTAAAGCTCAGAATGCTAAAGCTGGAAGTAGCTCTAGGGGTCACCTGGTTCAAGTCCATTTGGCAGAGGGAGAAAATGAGGCACAGAGAGAGGAAGTGATTTAGAGGCAAAACATAGAGTATAATTCGCCTTTCCCAATTGCTGGACTAGTCCTCCTTCCAATATATCTACCCATTTTAAAGGTGGACCAGAGGCATGTAGAGCCAAATGTGTGTGTTTGCTTATTCATTCACTCACTCAACGAATATATTTAGCATCTAATGTGTGGCAGACACTGAGGATGCAGTAGTGACCAAGGTACAAAAAGTCCTGCTGTCATTGACCCTATATTCTTGTGGAGGAGACAGACAAAAACCAATCAGATCATTCTGCTTGTAAGTGGCTTATACTTGTACTTGGGGCCCATTCTTCTTAACTCTCTACTGATGCCTTCATTGCTCCCCTCTTTCATTTTTCCCCCTTTCCTCTCTTGTGAGTAAGGTGAGAGAGAAGGAAGAGAGCCCTTTCAATCCCTCTTTCTCTACACTTTAAGCTCAGTGTGAAGTTTAGAATTTGTTCAAGTCAGGTTTAGTACCAATGTAGCACTAGAGTGGAGATGTCAGTATTTTTCATCAACACTGCAGTAGTGGGCTGGCTAAGCTGTCAGCTTGCTTGTGAGATGACAATGAGGTACTAGATGTGAGAGTTGTACTATTACCTTATAATTTCTCTGTTCTTTTTTTATACGATTTTCATTGTGCTGAACCCTGTCGTACCTGGCTGCTTTGACAGGTATGCTATTTCAGCTACACAGAACAAAACAGAGAACGAAAAGAAGAATGCATTGTACGTTTTTGCTGTCAGATTCAGGTTGCTTTGTTCTTAAGTTTGTGCATGATTTGTTCAGGGTTGTTCAGAGACAGAAGAGGCGAGGTTTCATTTTTAACCAATGTGATACTGAACATTCTCACAGTTTACCTCACAGGTGGGCTACTGTCCATATCCCCTGGATGAAGGAATCTTCTTTCCTGTCTTCTTTCATGTTTGAAATTCCACCATTGTGATTAATTTCTCTGGGCTCATCATTTGCCCACTCAAAATATAAAGAGTTCAGGGAGGATTAATCTCTCAAGTCCTTAACATTGGTGTATGCATTCACTTACCAGATCAACTTCTTCCTCGAACCAAAGCATGCAAAAGGGTGACAGGTGAAGCTGGCCTTAAACAAATGAAGTAGGAAGATAAAGGGACAATCTTGGCTCAGTTCCCCAGACCCATTCCCAAATATCATCTCGAATGTGGTTTTGTTTATTTTTATTCTTGGTGTTGCAAATGACTGTAGGAAGAGTATATTTATACTTTATTAAGGTTGACAGACTCTAAGGCTGAGCATGCTTCCATCAAGAAGGAGAGTTACCATTAGCTGTCACTGAAATCTTAGAGAATTGTTCTCAATCTTAGTAGGTGGAGAGCAAATATCTGGCCTTGGTACAAGGCACCTCTGTGCATGTGGTCCATTGGTAAGATATGTGAGGATTTAAAAGTTGTTCTTGCCGTTGAGCTCCCAACCTTGCTGTGTTCTCAAGGAACTCGGTGCTGAAACTGTGGGAGACATACAACAGACAACATAACTGCAGGTATTTAAATTCCAACTTTAAAAGTGTTTTATATAATCAAAAGGAAAAATGTAGAGGACCATTTGACTTCAAGCATTAAACAAAGTGTTATTCTAGTGAAAGAGGAAGAAGTTTTGGGGAACTATTACTTAACAGTACATTTTGAAATAGAAGGAAGGCTTTATTTCAGAGAAGAAAATGAAGGTTGAAAGGTTTTAAAAAATTAATAATATGTAATTTAACATCAACTAAAGACAAACATATTGTCTATTAACGTTAGAGGATAAAAGTTACAACACAATTATCGGCACTTGCAATGTGATTTAAAAGAGGTTATATGCCCCAAATGGTGAAATGTGAGTTCTGTATATCAAGGGGCACATAGAAGGTCACATAAAGACAAAACTCTAATTAAATGATTTATTTTCTCATCTAAGATCCATCAAATAGATAAATCTGAAACATCTTTGGACATAGACTAATTTTTGAACCTCAATGAGCACTCTGGGTTCTTGGACAAGGAGGGAGAAAAAATTGCTATTTGCTTAGGATCAAGATTGCTCAAGAAGACTGGCAAGGGGGAGGGGGAGGAGGAGGGAAAGGAGGCACTTGCCCCAAGGCCCTTGTTCACCTACTACTTCTGATTCTGTAGAGGCCTCCTAGTATGTTCAGTAGTGATTGCACACTGACACTACTGATAGATTCTATGTTTCGATCTCAAAGGTTTTGGCCCTTTCATTCTCTGTCAGTGTGTTTCTACCCCACATGAAGGCTGGGTACGACTTGCCTCTATCAGCAACCTCTTCAGGGACTAGTTAAGCTCAGTCATCCCAGGTGGCTCCTGGGAAAACTACAAGAACAGAAGCATTAGCAAGCATTCCTGTGTGTGTGTTGGTATTACAGCCCAAATCTTGCAAGGACGTTCTAATTGTAGTAGTCCCTCTCCCACATAAACCCTGTGTTGCGGGCGGGGTGGGTGGGGAGGGGATGGAACTCTGTGGCAGTAACCAAGCTGCTAAATTGCTTAGCTGGTTTTAATTGAAGTGTGAGAAGGAGGTTTTAAGGCAGGTAGACAACATCCTGTTGTTCCGGTGCTCCTTTCTCTTTTTTGCACATCTGGCTAAACCGGGAGTCAGGTTTACTGACTCCTGCCTGGTAGCAGCAGTAGCAGCAGCAGTAGCAGCTGCAGCAGCAGCGGCGGCGGCGGCGGCGGCGGCGGCGGCGGCCACATCTTTCTCCTGGTCCACACCTTGGCCTGTCCAAGAGTCCATCAGGCCATGGACGCAATGCCTGTGTATCATGGCAAAATCAGCCGGGAGACAGGGGAGAAGCTACTGCTTGCCACTGGTCTGGACGGCAGCTATTTGCTGAGGGACAGTGAGAGTGTCCCAGGCGTGTACTGCCTGTGTGTACTGTGAGTACATTGTTGCAGCTGGGCTGGGGGCTTGCAGAGGGTGGGCACAGGCAGTGGGCATGGGTGGTGGGGGCAGGCAATGCACAGGTGGCAGGAGCTTGTCCCAGCCTCCACTGCCCACCTGATGGTCTGATCTCATGGGCTACCTCAGATGCAGCCCAGGTCCATGGTGGACCACGATTTGGCTTATGCCCCTCTCTGGGGATTTTGCTTCCTGAGCCTCCCGATCACCAGAAAGGCCTCCCCAGGACCTTTTGGAGCACATGTACAGAAAACCTTTTTGAGTGGGGAAACGCAGCCTGGAATTTACCTTTGGTCAGAGCAAGACCCAGGATCCAGACTTCAATTTTGACCTCTGGTAGAGGCCAGTGAGTTGGAGCCCTGGGATGGTGGGCTGGCCAGATTTGGGGCCAGAAGCTCCTGAGAAGCAGAACGGCTTCTTTCCAACTCTCTTTGAATGAATTTGGAGGTGTCATCCCAAAGGAAGACCATCAAATTCAGGGAGAGAAAGCAGGCTCAGAAACTAAATTTATTACTTGAAGAATGCAATACCAGTTAGGTAGGTCCCTGAGAGGGGGGATGTTTGTGAGTAAAACTGCCTCTCTGAACCTGCTTAGTTAGCTTCCTTTAGAAGAGATGTGTGGGGGGCAGGATTCCTTCTTGATAAAAGCGAGGACAGACAATAGTTGTGAAGGACACGGAGGGAAAACACCCTTGTTATGAATCAGCTGTGCCCTTAGGCATGTCTTTGTCTAACACCCCATTTTGATTCAGACACAACTTCATCTTTGCTTCAGGGCTCCAGAGTCATGCAGATCTGAGACCTAATCCTGTGATAGTCCAGTGCTAGGTTTGTGACTTCAGCAAGTTAACCTCTCAGTCCCTCAGTTTTCTTATCCACAAAATAGGTATGTCATACTACCTATGTCATAGAATTGTGAGGATTAAATGACATAATGCAGGTTAAAAATTTAGCACTGCACCTGAGACATAGTAAATATTCTGTGAAGGTAACCTATTATTATTATTTTATTATTTTTGCAGTCAATTTCTCTCAGTACTCATGGGACATGTCTAAGGAAGTATGTAGCTGAATTACTTTTTGTTAGCAGGATAAAAACACCCATGAAAACACCAGCTCGGCACAGTAGGTTCTAGACAGAAACAAAATGAAGGAAAATGCTTGGTAGTATTTTCAGTACCTAATGATACACTGCAAGGTTTTAAAGTACCTATGGGCCAGTGAAAAAAGATTATACTGATGCTGGTAACAGAGGATTTTCATTGTTTGTTTATTTATTATTTTTTAAATGGCCAAGCCATGTTTGTGGCAACTCTCAGGCCATGCTACATGCATTTATTGTAAAGGCTTCAAGTGAAATACACGGAAGCTATTCAAGCTTTTGGGCTCAGATCTTTATGTTTTGCTTATATTATTGTTTTCCCAAGTGGAAAATGGGGAAGGTCAATGAAAACCAAGTAGTATTCTTATGTGGTGTTCTTATCAAAAGAAGATTGAAGAGGGAGTGGACCAACAAAAGGGCTTCTTTAGTGAAGCTGACATAATGGGTCTCTTAACCGAGAGGGTAAAAAAAAAAAAAAACTTTGGGCAGGCAAAGGGAGAGCAGGGGACAGTGTACGCTGCAAGATTTGCTTAAAGCTTCAACCACACTGGCCTCTTCTGTTGTTTCTCAAGTTTGTCAATCATGCTCCCCACTTGGGGTCTTTGCACTTTTTGCTCCTTCTGCCTCTCCTACCTGATCTAATATAAGTGCCCTCTCCTGTCCCAGTTACACTGTATCTCTTCACCTTTCTTCAAGGGGCTTTAAACTATCTGACATTTACTTGTTTACTTATTTATTGCTGGGCTCTCCTGGTAAAATGTAAACTCCATGAGGGTAGCGACATTGTCTCCTGCACCAGGAACACAGCCTGGAATGTAAAAGGCATTATGAGGCACTCAATATATATATTTGCATTAATGAATGAACTGTCAAAGCAAATACTGTTCTTTACTGCAAACAGCTATGGACTGATATGAGGAGGCCCGCGTGTGGAACACTGGGGAAGTCACTTAATTGTTCTGGGTCTTGCTTTCAATATCTGTAAAACAAAAACAGTAATGTTTTCCCAGCCTTCTGCATAAAATTGCTGTTTGTAAAATATGCAAGGACAAATTTACCCCTTTTGCCCATGTAGGCCAGGATCACTTAAGTAATTAATTTAGGCAAGTGGGAAATTCTTAAATATTTCAGTTTTCACCCAAAGTGAATCTTGCATAAGTGCAGTTTTTATGACTCTTAGTTTTCCATGCAAACCTCCTTATGAAGTAGCAGAAAAGAGTAGGCAAATTGGGAGTTCCCCTCACATCTTTTGATGGGCAGACTGGGGCCTCCAAGTCTTAGAGGGCAGCTGCCAGGCTGAGCTGCTGAGGGAAGGCACAAGGATACATTATCTTTTATGACACTTTCTGAAATTTTTTGAGCCAAGGGTCCCTTTTGATCAATATAAAACTTTCATTTCCCCATTTTGGCACTATGCTGTAGTAACAAAATGACATTTCATTTTGAGATAAACCATGGACTCATCTTAAACTAAAACATGTGTGCTTATGATGTGCAAAAGAAATAACAATGTAAATGGTGTCATATGCACATGAACATATGAAGGAACATATGCATATCCCACATATGAAGGAGGGATAGCTAACAAATGTTCAGTGATTGTGCAGTTTGCTCAGAATAGTTTCTCATTCTATCTTTTGTTTACTTCCATTGTCCAAGAAGGTTCGGTTGAGAATTAGTTACTGTATTTTTCCTTTTAACTGAATTTATTGGGGTGACACTGGTTATATAGGTTTTGGGTGTGCAATTCTACATCATCTGTATATTATAATGTGTGCTCACCACCCCAAGTCAAGTCTCCGTCCATCACCAGTTATGCCCCCTGTACCCTCGCCAACTTCCTAGTCTATATTTTTTGTAGGAATAGCACCTTGTGTGTGCTTTTGAACTGTAAACTATGCTTTAAAACTCTTTTCCCCAGTTCCAAAGCCCTAGTCATGGCCATCAGATATGTTCTTTTGCCCTGTTCAGTTTTGGAATCTCATAAAGTACTAAAGAAGTTGTCTATTTATAAGATTGCTCACCCATATTTAAAGTGAAAAGTTGTTCTTCTAACTATTTTCAATAAATAAATTCTAGATTTTTGTATAGTAAGTTCATTAAAAATCCTTCTTAATATCTAATCATATTATAGAAAATTTGAAACATGTAGATAATGGAAATGAGGGGAAAACCATCTGTAGTTTTATAACCTACAGACAATTATTATTGGAAATGAAGTGTCTTTTCATCTATATCTTAATTTAAAGTTGTTTTGTAAACACATATGTGCTCTTACAATATTGTATTCTGATGAGTTTTCCACTTTGCATGAAAAAACTCCATTTGTATATAATGTTATTATGAATAATTTTTGAACATTATTTTTAATGGTTGCATGATAGTCCAGCCAGTGCATGTAACTATATTTTCCTTAACCAGTCATCTATTTTAGACATTCAAGTAATTCCATTTTTTCAATTATAAATTCCATTATGATTCATATTTCAGTCCATAAAGTTTTCCTTGCATTTGTGATTACTTCTTTATAATATGTTTTAAAGATGTACAATTTCTAAGTCAGAAAACATGAATAGCTTAGGATTCTTGATGTATACATGATCACCAAATATTTTTTCCTAAATGATTCTTCCAATTCATATATATGCTCACCGGTAATGCTCAAGAGTATCCATTTCATTGCACTGTTCCTGCCTTTGGGAATTCCTTAAAAATTTTTTTCCTTGAAATTTGGTATCTCACTATTCCATATTTCTTTGATTAGTGATACAGTGTCTTTTATATGCTTGGTAAGCTGTTGTGGTTTTTTGTTCATGAATTGGCCCTTTGTATACTTTGCCCATTGAGCCATTTGGATACTAGTATTTTTCTTAACACATTATGGGTTTTTATACACTAATCCTTGGTCTGTTGAAAGTATCTTTTCTTAGTTTGTTTTTTTTTCCATTAGGTTTCTTTGACAGACAAAAAATATTAACATTTGTAGTGGTCAAATCCATCACTCATTTTCTTTGTGTTTGATTTCTTTGTTTGATTCCCAGCCTAGAAAGCTTTTTGTCCTCTAAAGATGTCATAAAACTTTACTTCAGTTTTTATTTTAAATTTATGGTTTGATTAGTTTATATTTAACTCTTTAATTTCATTTAGAATTTTATTTTAATGTGGAGAGAAGATCTAATTTGATTTTGTTTTGAAATAGCTAATGATTGTCCCAATACAATTTTTAAATAGACCTTTAATTCCACATTGATTTATTTGCCTCCTTTACCATATATTACATTTTTACATGTAACAGTTATTGTTTTGCAGCAATCTGTAGCTCAATTGATCTATTCTTGTATTACCAGCATTATAGTATTGAGGGGAAAGAAAAATATTTTTTTTCTACCATTGTAAATTCTTCTGTTTGGACTAATAATCAAATCAACATGAGACTGATTAACAGGATAAAATGGCCACATTTATGATGCATATGTACATACAGGGATTCCATAAGAACAGGAGGCCCAAGGGCACATTGGGCCGTTGAGGATTATATCCCTCAGTAGAGCGAGGCTGGAGTCTGGGATTTCAAGGGGAAAGCAGGCAATTCACAGGTAGAGGAGAAAGAGCAAACCTGTGGTGAACAGTTTCTTGCTGAGCCACCCAGAACAATGGGACCCCGAGGGGAATCTCACAGACAGACGTTGCTTGGATCCTCCTGCCTAACACACTTAGTTCATATGTGCTAAGGTGAACATGACAAGGTTCCCTTCCCGAAGCAGGTTTATCTATCTGCATTCCTGTAGGCACGTAAGGGAGAAGTTAAAGAAAACTTCTTGAATATTTTGGGTTTTATTTTTAGATGTAAATAATCTGTATGTCAGGATGGCACTT